AGAATCTTCTTTGTGCCATTCATTATTTTTATATAGCTGTATCATGTCCTTTTTTCATGCCACCCCTAAATAGGTCTAATTGTTTCAGTTTCTCCAGATACAAAATTTTCTCTCTCAGCCTTTAATCATCTGCCTGTCTCCAGATGCTCCCTGTATCTGCTATATCTATTTTGCCGTCAAGTTCCCATAACTGAACGAAGTATTCAAGGTGTAACATATAAGTGATCTGTGGGAATTACGGTATTTCCAGTCTGATTTTTTTCCTTTCCCACTAGTATTTTGTTCGACACTGCTGTCTGATGGACTTTCCACAGTAATGCCAGGATCTTTTTTCTAAGCAGTTACACTCAATTAAGATCCCAGTAGGTTGTGTGAATAACACAAAATACACCATTGAGAGTTACACTTCCCTAGCATTAATCCCTTTGGCCCCTATGGTGTTTACTTAGCTACTTAGGTTAGGCTTCTCTTCACTATTTCTCTTCTACAGTAAGCAAAATTATATAACAGTATGTGTTCTGTGTGTTGCCACATCATTTTATACCTTTCCAGAGCAATAAATTTTTAACATGCCCTTTTAACTCATGTGTTTTCTTGAGATGTCATGTTGTCACAGGAGGCCTGTAAGCATATACACTTAAGACATATATACACTGCCCCACACAGTGAGTATAAGCACAGTCAAGCATGTCTATAATCATATAGCACCACACTTCAACTTGTACGTTGCCTGTTTCTCAGCAGGCTACTTCACTTAGTAGCTGTGGTATCTCAGCATGGAACTACATAGTAAAGGGAAGGCATGGTCATGTTGAAAGTCAACCAGATAGTGGTAATCATAGAATCATAGTATGGTTTGGGTTGGAAAGGGCCTTAAAGGTTCCAGCCCCCCTGCCACAGCAGGGACACTTTCAACCAGACCAGGTTGTTTCAAGCCCCATCCAACCTGCCTTGAATACTTCCAGGGATGGGGCAACCACAGTTTCTCTGGGCAACCTGTGCCAGGGCCTCACCGCCCTCACAGTGAAGATTTTTTTTCCTAATGCCTAACCAAAATCTACCTTCTTTCAGCTTAAAGCCATTTCCTATTTTCTTGTCACTATATGCCCTTGTAAAAAGCCCCTCTCCAGCTTCTTTGTAGACCCTTTAGGTATTGCAAGACTGCTGTTTGCTTTCTGATAGCTTTGAATGCTCAACAGTACCTTCCCATCATGAATTTGGACAGGAGGCTTTATAAACCTCCGGTAAGTATTTTTTTTATTAAATGATCAGCTGCAAGTCTGAACTTATTTATACATACTTGGTTTTTCTTATGCCAGTACCTCCCCAATGTGGTAAAAAAACAACAACAAAAGAAAAGGTATAGAAAGGTATATAGAAAGGCATATAGAAAGGTATATAGAAAGGTATATAGAAAGGTATATAGAAAGGCTGGGAACCCAAGCATGTACCCCAAATACCATGGATCTGATAATGACAGTGCTCCCTCACATGCCATCCTCCCTTCAACAATCTTTTCGTGTCCCTCACCCTGAAAAAAAAACATTTCCAGCCACTGCCACTGCTGCTGTGGCTCTACCCAGCAAGAGATGTGTATGTGTAGCAGCTGGCAGAGCTGGGGAAGGAAAGCCTGTGTCTCTGGCATTTCAGTCCCTTTTGTGCTGCTGTAGCTTAGCCTCTGCAGGACATCCAGAAATCTCAAGCAAAGGTTTAACATACTCATTTCAGCCAAAGGGAAAAAAGAAAAAAAAAAAAAAAAAAAAGAGGATATGGCTGAAGAAACACAACTGAAAGACAGCCCTGGGGAAAGCACAGTTTCCCTTTACAGTGTCAGAACCTAGGAGTTCATCCCCTATTTTAGCACACTCATGTTTTATTGCTTCCTTCAATTATCATTTAAATTCATTTTCAGGTTCTGAGGTCTCCAATTTACAAAAGGACCCCTAGCCTATAGACACAGAAAAATGGTTTTGCGCCATCTCCTGACAGAATTATTACCATTATTATGTTACTTAAAATTTGTATTATATCTAAAATCCCACAATCAAATTAGGCCCCACTGCATTTTCTAACACCCAAATGTGTAACTAATAGCATTCCAGGCCCTCAGGAAAGACATTTAATTTTAAGGTAAACTCTTGGGGGCAGAAATTTTTGTTCTGTGGGGAAAAGGTCCCTGCAGCCTCTAGGTTGCACCACAATCCTAATAATAATGTTAGTAATTATAACTAATATTAGTATTAAATATTGTTACTTCAATTTTACCACAGCTTATACCCCTCTTTTGTCTTAACATGATGTGCTAAGAGTGTGTTTTATTCCTTCAGCTCAAGCAATCTTTATTTAATGTTTCAGTGCTGTCCTAAGGATGCTTTGCTTTGCTTACAGGGAACAATAGTCCAACAGAGTAAGTGTTTGGTGGGATGAATGGTTGTTGAAGTGAAGACAAAGGGTAAAAGAGAAGGGACACCAGCAAAAGCTGTTCTCCTGCTCCACACGAATGTTAATGCTCGTTCGGTGTTCCACAATGAACCCCTTCAGTACACTGAGTTACTGGAAAAAATCCTCTATGCTGAGAAAGATGCACATGTCACTGCAGAGTCAGAAGCTTGCGATGATTGTATCAGCACTTTTTGTCACACTCCCCCAAAGAAGTGTATGTTCCCTAAAAATGCTGCCAGAAGGCATTTCAGTTGTAGATTTAAAAAGTATTATCCTTAACCCGAATTGAGAGAAACAGGAACAAAATGTCAAAACACAAAGGCAAGACAGCTTAGTGTTAAAATGTTCCAAAATGCGATGCTGACTTAATACTGTTTTGTTACTACAAGGCAAGAGTTCAGTATCTTTTTTGTTTCATTCAACTCACTTATAACTATAGCAATACTGTGACTGCAAACAGCCTGAACGTCGGCTTGGCATGTTTGCAGTTGATGCCCTACTTTGTAAACACCATCATAAAAGTTAGGATCCAAATGACATTAAGCTCTTTAAGATTGAATACATTTCAAGCAGAATTAAAAAAACAAACAACAACATCACCACCCACCCACCCCCACAAAAAAAAAAAAAGAAAAAGAAAAAAGCAGTAAAACACTTCACAAGCACCGGAACGGTGACCTGGCTAATGCTCTCTCCTAAAGATGCAGGTGATAAGCATCTGTAAAAATGACTCATCTCTGTCAGTAAAATACCCTTGTAACCTTGAAAGGAGGGGTAATCTAGAAGATATCTGCACAATACTAAGAGGCGTCTGATTGTGCCTGCCTATGAGTCTTTTAACACCCAATTGACTCAATTGCACCTACTCAAAATGCTGTTCTTTACCTTTAGCCTAGAGAGGGAAACATGATTAGAAGTCCATGTGTAAAACCGCATTGAAGATTAATTGCCCCAGGAACACACAAAATACTAGTAGTACTCAGGTGCTTTGTATCAGTGAAGACTGGATAGTCTTTCCTAGCATTTTTTTAGCCCTTCTTGCGCTTCCACCTAGGAGAAAGTGCTATTAAATTCTTTTGTAAGAAAAAAGAATAGGCATCATAGCAACATCGTGTTTCTTGCTGTCAAAACAATGACCACTTCTTTTAGCGATATTAGTGTGTTTAAATTCTCCCTTCTGTAAATACAACTTAGGCTAAAAAGCATCCTTACTCTTCCAAAAGGTTTTAGAATATGAATTGATTTCAAGCTTTCATCTTTTTAAAGCACTATATTTATTATGAATATTGTTACTCCATTTGATTAAAACACTCTTTTATATACAGGAAAAAAAGAGAAGAATTTTATATACAGGAAAAAAGAGAAGAATTTCTCCTATGCCATAAGATCCAGCACATGGCAGATACTTCACTTCTCTAATGTTACTCCTTCCACCTCAAAGCAAGCAAATTTGCTATAAGGTAAAACAAACAAAATTAATTTAGCTCTGCTATGCTCTGACTGGATTTATCTGTTCTTAACTGTAGAATTAGTATTTAGCATGCAAATTAAATAGATAGATATAGGATGACCCCCTGTCTTTCATACCCAACCTTCTGTCTTCCTCATTTGTGCCATCATTGTCATTCAGCTGTGTTAGTCTGCCAGCAGTTCTGCTATAAGAGACATTGCTTTGTGAAGAGCTCCTGAGAGGGGGGTGTCTTTCTTGTCTTTGGCAAACTCTTCCTAAAGAGTATTTTCGGCAGTGTGCCAGCAGCTCTTGGCACAGATTAACCTGCTCACAGTGACTTGCAGTGCTGATACTTAATAGTCATCCCCTGTAGCTTAGCAGTAGCTGAGCTGGATAATTACAGCCCCTGAGTTGGCCTTGCATGTTGGGTTTCTACTGTTTGGCAAACTTGGAAGGCCAATTTAATCAATATAAACCAGGGAAAGAGAAAAGGAGAAATCCATCTTGCACTTAGTAGAATATTTTATCAACTTTGCTACTATTGAGAGAATGTTTCAGGGCGAAAAAATAGAATAGATTCAACAAACTGATACCAGTGAGCCTTCAGTAGATGAGGAGGAAAGAAAGAAAGGACTTTCTTTTATCAGTCATGCCAAGCAGGGAGAAGCATATGAAGATGGCATGACATCCGTGACATGCCGTAAGCTGTTGCTGTAGGAAAACATGCCATCCTTCAGGTTCAGGATAATGCAAGGAAGACCCTGAACCTCACCAGGGGATGTGGAACTATATCATTTTTACAAACTGAAACGCTGTTCCTAAAAAAGTTTGGTCCATGGTTTGGGTTTTTTTGTGGCAAACAGGCTGCAAAGGTAAGTGGGCAGGAACGGGAGTTTAGATCAACCCCCTACATTTTGTGGTGTGGGTGCTTCCTGAGCCCCTGCTACCCTGGGGACCGCTCTCGGAATGGGCAAGCAAATACCCTGGCGTGGTCTGGGGACAAGCCTCCTTGAGGAAGCGGCGGTGATGGGGCGGAGGCTGCTCAAAGCAGAGGGGCTCCATCCTCGCCCAGGCAAGCAGATTGAGTCGGGAGAGGCGGGGCGCCCTTCCACCCCCTGTGGCCGGGCTGGGCGGTGCCGGGGGCTGGCTGCAGGCGGAGGAAGAGTCCAGGGTATTCCTGAATGAACGTCTCCATCACCCCACACCTCCGCCCGGCGCCCGCCTCCCTCCCGCCACTCGCCGGTGTCGCTTCGAGGCGCAGCCAGTTTCTATAGCGACGGCGCTGATCCGCGGCTCTTCCGAGTAGTAACAAAGCCGGCCGCCCGCCCGCTGCCGCGCCGGAGCTGAGAGGGGACGAGGCTCCCTCTCCCGAAGACACCCCGCTCGCTTGCGGCGCCCGGACAGGTACGGAGCGAGGGGCTCTTTCTTCAGCGGCTGCCACCCGCCCCCTGCGCGGTCGGGCCATCGCCATGTGGCCGCGGTGCCCCAAGCCAGGCGGCGGGGCGCGGGGACCTGCCGCGGGGTGACGGCTGCGGGAGAGGCTGGGCTGCGGGCGTCGTCTGAGAGGAGGAGAAGGACGCGTCCGCGCCTGTGGCACCTGATAGGGGGGAGCGGGGAGGAGTGCCGCAGGTACGCCGGGCGACCCCGCTCCGATTCCGCCTGGGCAGGGCCGGGGGCGCAGCGGCAGTTCAGCGCCCGGATCGCCGCGGCTTGGCGGGGTGGGCCCGGCGGGTCGCCTCCACCGTCCCGCGCCGGCGTGAATGCCGCGCTGGGGGGGGGGGGGGGGGGGGAACGACACGGGCGGGCTCCGCGCCCTGGGCTGCAACCGGTGGGCTTGGCTTTGCCTCTTGGCCGAGGGCATCGATTCCCTTCCGCGGTTAAGATCACCCTCGATAATAGTGGTCTTGGTGGTGTTGGCTTTGCCCCCTTGGAAATTTGGGGGTTACAAAGTTTGATTTGTTCAGTTTTATAAAGTAACGTTGAATAGGGTGATAGCTTTAAAATGCGCTGCTTAGTTTAAGAAAAAAAAAATCAAAAGGATTGATTGGTATTGAAGAAATTACTGCTTCTTTTTAGGAGTAAGTGTACCAAAAGGTTTTACACAAAATGAGTCTGTAGCTTTCAAAGCCAGCTTAGCTCATTCGAAGACGGAGCCGCGGTAAAATGGTAGAGGTGATAAAGGCGTGCTTATCTCGGGCAACCAAGGTTAGTTAAGAATAAGCTACCCTTAGCCCCTGAAATTCTCGTGTCAGAGGGTCGATGAGAAGGTCATTAGCGGGAATGAGTTGCCTGACCGATGTTTGTAGTGACTATATGAATAACATTTGAATCGTAGTGACTACAAATAACCATGCATTTCAACAGAAGTTTAAAATTCAGAGCAACTTCCCAGTGATAACAGAACTGCTGACCTTGCATGATGAGGTCCGAAGGAGCAGCCATTAAGGTTCATTGCTGAATGATTTAGGAAATAAATTAGTCGATGGGCCAAGGCGAAGTTGTACTGTGGCATGTATGCAGCCAGCAGGATGCTGTAGATGAGAATCTTCTTGGATATGAACAAGAGAAAACAGGGAAATAGGATGTGAGATGAGGAGAGTGTGGCTATCATAGTTACTGAGTGGGCGGACAAGAATCAAAATTTTAAGTAGTATGTACTGTATATATCAGATTTGATATTCAAAACACTATACATAATGTAATACCAGCATATTGGAACCCAAAGGCTAAATATTGACTGCAAGAAGTTTGAGAAGTATATAAAAATAGTGACTGTTAAATGAAAAGTGGAGCTACTGTTACCATCTAAGTAAACGCTGTGAAAATATTTTATAGTGTGGAAAGAGGCGATGCAGCTCTCTTTAGCAATCATGAATACAAGTAGCATATAAACTGTAGACAGGCTTCTCTTGCAAGAGATGTTTAACTGAAATTAAGTTTTAAATAAGGGTTAATCAGGGTTAAACAATTCTGAATATAAAAGTTAAATGAGTAATATCAGCAATAGATACAATGGAATTAAGGTATAGTTTGTTAAAAATAAAATCACAAATAAACAGACAAACAGAAGTGGAATTTCTTATGTATATTGATTGTAGTGGTTTGCTCAGTGTTTATAAGTGTTTGTCCTTTGCTTCTTTCAGAAGCGCCACAACAGTTGTTTTGTTGAAAAAGTTATAACCTTCTGAATGACCTCTGTTTTTCATGCAACACTGAATAGCAAGCTCTTGAGTTTATTAAATGTGTAAAAATGGGGACCTCAGATTAGTTTAGCATGATGGAAAATCACATTTCAAGACCATACTCTGGGCTATCTGAAATTGAATGCACCTAGTAGGAAATAAAAGGTCAGCTGTATATAATAAAGACCTGGGGAGTTCTATTCCCTTAGCTGTGTGGCAGGGAATGAGAAACATCAGAACTCAATATAATCTTGCCCTGAAAGATGAAGGGATACGCAACATATTTACGTTTAACGCTTCCATGTGGTATTTCAGTCTTGAAGTTGTTCCATGTGGAACAATTGCAGACTCCACTTGATGAAGTTTATTAGGGATAAAAACAATGTATTAGTTAGTTGGGGCAGTACCAGGAAAGAACCCAATAGCCTACTATAGATAATATGTCCTGTAATAGGCTCTGACATGTATAAGAGCTTCTAATGGTCTGAACAGTTCTAGCACTTAGATCACAGTCTCTCAGAGTGTCATTTCACACCTTTCTGATGCTCCTCAGTCCAGACTAGGTTTACAGGAAGCCTGTTCTTAAATTGTCATGAAAGTGTCCTCTATAGCTGTGCACTCTGTACAGTGACATAAGGCCACTGCAGGAGTCTGCTTGCCAGTTTTCCTCTTGTTTTAATCAGTCCGAGTTTAACGTGTTCGTCTATATACTAGGTTTGATGACTCTGTTAAACGTTTTTCTGGAGATGTGTGTGCACCTGCTGAAGCCAGTGCCACTTACCACCTGCTGTCTAGAGACTGGTTTCAGTCCTTCCAGCAATGTTGCTAAGGACTATTAGGGATCCTCAGAGAGCAAAGGTTGGGAAATTCTCCTGTGGCCTTTGCACACGTTGTGTGCTGAAGCGCTTCCTATCCAATATAAACTACTGTTCTGACAATAACAGTATTGGTAGATGTGTACCTTAGAGTAGTGTAACATATGATAACTGTGACTTTCTAGTGTAAAGAAAACATTTGCGAGTGCTGTGGTAAGCTGCAAAGAGCTCAGGCCTCCTGAAAACATACCTTAGGTTTCAAATTCATATGCAAAGATACATAAAGGAGTACAAGATACGCAGCTTTTAACCTATTACAGCTCTACAATTGTTTAAACCCAATCTTCTGTGGTTTCATTCAGCTTGGTTTTCCTGCAGACATGATGTAGTGCAGCATTTTAGTCATAATAAGTGCCGTAAGTAAACATACCTTTCCTTTTCCTGTTATATCTTTTTCACTATTGACAGAGGAGTCCAGTTTTTCAGATCTGATGGTAGCTTTCAGCTGAGTTATTTTGCAGTGAGAGGATGTTCATGTGCAGACTTAACTTCAGTAGATTTCCAAATGGGTGGAAGTCTGTGGTAACTCTCCAGTCAGAAGTCTTTTATTAGCTGTCTAGACAAGATCTACACAAACATTCTGTGAAAGCTTAGATTACACAACAGCAATTTAAGTATAGTCTAGGTAGTGTGAAAACCTGAGATGCTCCAGTATCTCCAAAGTATTGAGCAGAGACTTGATATTTATTAACGCTTTACCTGTTATCTGTTGCCATTTCCAGGAAATCTAGCCTAAGTGTAACAAAGTTGTTCTATGATAGACTCGGGTTCACAAGCATTTTGTAGATATGTATTGCCTTTGGAAGCATCATCTATAAAGATTACTAGTGATGATGCTGCAGTGTTCAGAAATTGGGGAATGGCTGGGGATGGACTGTCTTATCTCTCTGCTTTCCGGCCTCAATTAAGAACTGTCCAAGTTACTGGGAGAAATGGCAGCCTGGCAGAAAGAAAGGAGTGTGATAATCTGGGTTTGAGAGCAGCCGTATGGAAACCTGAAAGAACCTGAAGGTTATGGGCCTGCAGTGAGGAACAAGGTGCGGTTTAATCTGCAGCCCGTGAGAGTTACCTGGGACTGGCATGAGGAGTCAGGTTGAGATGGGACTGGGACAGACTGGTGGAGGAGACCCAGGCAGGAAAATCTGTAGATATCAGGCTGTGTGCTCCCAGTGGATAGCCCCCTTAGGGGCTGCATTTTTTTTGTAAGCCTTCAAGGCTTTATTGTCAATATCTGCGGCAAAAGATATTGGTCAGGAAACCCAACCTTTCAATAATTGTTTGAGGGCAGCTGGTGTTCCAGGCAGGGGAGCTCATCTTGGCAGACAGTTCATGGCAAATAAGGAAAACTCCTGTTTCAGATGATAGATGGATAGCCAGTCTGTAAATCCCAGGCAGGAGATGTGCTCCTGTGAACAGAAAGGAAATATTCTCCTCTTGGTGACTCACAATCAGTGACCTGATCAGAGTCTGCTTGAAAAAGCATCTGACCTTGAAGCTTCTACTGTAGAATAGCTTTATGTGAAGGTATGTCTTGACCCCTGAGGAGCTGTCCTGCGGGTGTTTACAAAGAACCTGCAGAAGTCATTTGTCTCCTCATACATGATGGGGGATGTGGAGTGTCTCCACGGTAGTATTCTGTGGTGCAAATAAACCTCAAGCTGATACTGGCCTTTCACCGTTTAAACAATTCCTACAAGTAACTAACTCTCAAAAAAGCTTGAGAAGGCTTACTAGGGCTTCTACCACTATTGAAAATATTCGGCTTATTTAACTAGAATTTTGTAGTAACACCTTAAGCAGAAATTTTGTGTAGTGTTTGAATCACCCTTTGTCCAGGTGGAGTGTTGTATAACATGTGTAATGAGGGCTTTTATTTTCCTGTACCTTTTCAGTTCACTGAATTACAGTCATATGCTGTTAAAGTGCCAGCCACATGAAAGTCAAAGAAAGAAACAGTGCTGTGTTTGGTGCTAGGTACAATGAGTGGGTTGTGGGGTCACAAATTAAACAATGAGAATAAACCAAACCATTCACTATAATTGCAAACTATCCCGCACACTCAATGAAGCTTCCTGTGGAAGAAAATTATGTGTGATTGTATGACTAAAACTGTATTGTAATACATATATTCAGTGGAAAGCTGATGTTTTGTAATGCTGTAGTACTTGGCTTTGCTTTCAGTATATTACAGACATTTTACTGCGTCCAGTAAATCAAAGAGTGCTTTTGTACCTGATGCTTTACTCCCATAATCAAGTTGCCTCTTATTCTCTGATAAACTAAACAGATTGAGCTCTTTAAAGCCTTCACTTGAAGGAGTTTTATTCAGCTCCTGAATAATTTTTTTAGTGACAATCTCACTGTTCTTGGAGAAACTGTCCAGTCTCTCAAGATCCTTTATAGAATGTGAATATCAGAACTATGCAAAATATCTTTGATTTACTCTTACCAAAGCATAAATGGTACTGGTATCTGGAGCTAAAAAATAGCTATGTTTCCCTCCTCACCCATCCCATGTTGCTAAGTCCATGTTGCTAAGATCTCATATGCAGTGATTTGTCCTCTGTGATTTCTGTATGTCCCTGCTTGTTGCTGGGGGTGTTGGACTAGATGACCTTTAAAGGTCCCTTCAAACCCAAACTATTCTATTCCATTATTCTGTATCCTTTCAGATTATTTGTTTTGCACTAGACAGTTCCCTATTCTCAAGGACTGGTTTGTTATTTCCAGGCTGTGTATGAGGTTGTATTCAGGTACATTTTGTTTCAATGAGCCTGTTTTGCCAAATAATTCTGTCCTCTTAATTATTTACTTTTCTGCCATATTTTTGTGCAATTCATATAATTTATCAGAAGTTATTTTATATTTCCCTTAAGTCCACTAGTAAAAACACTTATTAGCCTAGTGCTCAGCTCCCCCTTTAAAACATGTCTATTTGATGATCCCTTTTGGCAGTCATTATTGGAGAAATGTGTGTACATTTTATGACTACGTGCTTCATTCACAGTGTGACGTACTCAGTTTATGTGAATAGTCATACCTTTCTCTATAGCAATCTGATGCAATAATAATGCAACTAGAAAGCACTTTATTGTTAAAGAGAAATGCTGTTTTCTTTTGTTAATTCTTCATTTTGTTTGTATCACTGGAGCAAGGTTCTTAAGTGGAAGCACTCTGCATTTTTCAATATTCTAATGTATGTCTCCTTTCTTCTATGTCATCTCCATGGCAGACCTGGAGTTGTCTTATCCTCCCTGTAGGTCTCTGAGATAAATCCTTGATGTTTGTGTTATTAAGTTCAAGGTTGACACCTTGAATAGCACTTGTTAAGTAAATGAAAATGAAATACAATGTTACTAGTCAGTTCTATCAAAAAAGACCAAAAGATCTGTCTAAAAGGGAGAGCACCTTCTAGCAGTATAGCTCATGTTATTCCTCACTGGCCATTAGGTGGTATTTTACACTTCAGAAGGCAGGCTTGGATGCCTACTCATTTAAAGATCATCTAACAATGAAAAAATTCATTTCTGTCCCTCTCTGTCTTTTAAAAACTAGGAGCAATGTAAAACCTGTCCTTTATACCATAAGTTTCTCTTAGCCTGAAATATTAATACCTTAAAATACCATGTCTCCCACAGGACAAATTGAACAGAGAACCTACCAACGATGAATCATCTGGTTTTGTTAGTAGTCAGACGCTTTGGTCATGGATGGATGGATGGATGGATAGATGCATGAATAGATTGAGCCCAGAGCTGTAAGCCAGCCTGGCAGCTAGTAGGTAAGTCCCTGGAAGCTCACCAAAATGTTTTCTCAAGCATCATATCTCTGTTTTACATATCGTATTTTGCCAAATCATATCCTAGAATAGGTATCTCTTAAGACAATAGGATCACACTTAAGCATATATCTACTTTTAGCTGAACTTAAGCATGTGCATACTTGTATATGCTCAAGTAGGGATCTGAAGGAGAATGCTTTCTTGGATGGGGAGACAGAGAAAACAGCTCTTACAAGACTTGGAGTGAGGCAGAGCTGAAAATTACTGGTGTGCAGGTGATTTAAGTATGAAGTAATAATATTGCATGGTTATGGATCCCACAAAAATCCTACATGAAGTATATTTCTAGTAAATATTACGTAATAGGTCTCTTAAGAATAAATGAAACAGACTCCCTTACATGGCTATCTTGCCTGTCTATGCCACCTTTCAGGCAAGTTAAGAAAGCATTTAAACCCCTAGAATGGAGAAACATTGAGTGCAATGATGTCTCCCTGCCTTTGCCTGCTATACCTCCCAAGATAGGTTGTCCTACAGCAGTGTGCTGTGCTGGTGGGTCTGGCAACATTTGCATTATGAAGCCTCTTTTTATGAACTTAATGTAACATGTTCAAAACATCTGCATCATGCTTGTGTGGTTTTTAGGGACTGAGGATAATTTTCCATGTGTCCATCAGTGTAAATGTAAGGCTTCAGTAAGATATGCTGACATAGTCTTATTAAAATATGACTTCTCATTGACTTTGGGACAGGGAAGAGGGAGGCATGTCACAGTAAAATATAGAAAGAAACTTGCTGGAGTTCTTTTTGATGCAGTTTTGTTATTCAGATTTGGCTATGAATAAGTTGAACAGCCTTCTGAACTAAGTTCCCTGTTAAAAATTAAGTCTTCCACCTATTTTTCTGTTTCGGTAAAATTATTCATAAAAAATGTTAGTTGTGCCAGTCTTGTCATTTGTTTTCAATTTTAATAACATCAATATGATGCTTGACTCACTCTTTGTCATGTATATAGATAGCTCCTACTTTGTGTGTATTTGAAATTCTGTAGGTCTCTGGAGAGGGTAACAGCTGTAGTTCTAGTCCATGCACGAACACACATGCACACATTTATATTTGCTACCCTCTCAAGAGAGCTATCATATTTTAAATTATGCAAATATACACACACATGTATTTGCCAAGTAAACTAAGGGTGTAAGTTGACATCACAGATACATGTATGGAAATTGCCTACTTACACTGCTGTAAATTACTGTACAAGCAAGTTCATCCCTGTCACCTTTTCTTTGTCTGTTGCTCAAGGAAAAGAAACAAATTCACACAACATGATTAATAAAGAGCAGCTGTGGACATAATTCTATGCATGTCAAAAAAAAGAAGTATCTATCCACTAACTGTAAAATAGTAACAAACAATCCTGCTGCATATTTGATGCATCTTCCTTTTTACTGCTTCACTCTGAACCTCTTTCAGTAGCAGTGTTGTGTTGTTATGCTTAGGTTTTTAACACCTTTTTTTTTTGCTTATGGTCTTGTCTATGCGAGTACAGAAAACCCAACCACGCTGAAACACAGATAGTTTTTTAAAAGGTATTTCAAAGCATTATCCTAGGTGATTTATTTTGCTGCTCACACACTAGCCATGTTAGCTAAAGCACTGGTGAAGAGCAAAAAGAAGGATGAAATAATGCTATGACAAATAATAACTCCTGGGCAACAACAACAAACAATACAGTGATCAGCGCATGACTGTATTGGAAGGTAAGGTTAATATTCACCCTATTACTTCTGGCCCAGAGCTCATTTGATGAGGTTTGAAGAATTGCATTTGTCTTGGGACATTTGGAGTATTGACGAGGGGCAGCTTCAGTCAACATTTGCTTTGATGTTTCTATATGCATAAAATTGAATTTCAAGTGTGTATGTGTGTGTTACAATAAGGCACGTAGGTGATGGATTAGATTCATTATTTGTTATTTGAACATTAGCAGTATCTTTGATGAAAAAGATGCAATACAGCCTTTGCTGTGCAGAATTTAGGATCTAAACAGACGGAAGTGCAGCAGGTAGGGTATGTCAGAAAATTCCAGAGTAGGAGATTAATATCATTTGGCATCAGTTTTGAGTCTAAATGGATTGGAATGGTTTGCTGGGATTTGTGCGGCTTCTTATTTGTTTTTGTTTTTCTGTGGTAGGAAAGAAGATATGGGTCTTAGGGGAAGAAACATGAATTAGGAGTGGGATTTCTGGACTGGCATGCGGATAAGAATGAATTTCTATCCTGGCAGTATGCCTGTAAAGTCCCTAACTTTGCGTAGTGTAAAATATGCTGCAATCTTTAGATCAAATTTTCTAGAGAATACACTGAGTGTGGAACACTCAGATAATCAGCAGAGTCTGAAAGACTTGTAGAAAAAAATCAAACTGAAGCCATATATTGCAAGATCATATTCTTCTGAAAGAAGAAACAAATCTTGGGAAAGCAGTTTCATCAGCATTCATGGGATTGAGCAGTGGCACAACTCCTGTGAAGCCTGCTCCAGAAATGACATCATGTGTCTGCCATGACATACTAGGCCACTCAGACTGGCACACAAACACTGAGCGGCTGCCCTCCAGAAATCCAGTTGCATATCTCTAGCAAAAGAAAGACTCTAGTCAGAGATATGAATGGTTATTCAGCCATCTGCAGAAAGAAATGCAGTGTGCCAGGCAGCAAACAGCAAGCATCATACATTTACTGATGAGCAAATCTACGATGGGGAAACCACAAGGGTTTGTGTTGATAGGAAATAGGCAAAAATTGGTGGTCTGTTTCATTAAACCCGTGGGTTCCAGTGAGGACACTGACAAAGCTCACTTCCTGTGTACAGCTCCAGATGTCCATGAAGATCCCCACCCCCAAAATTTTTAATTCACATAAGCAAAGAAAGTCACTGCCACAGCAAAGATGGGTTTTGGTCTGCTGGAGGTCCGAGAGGAAGGTAACTAAAGCAGTAGACCTCTGCTCTGCTTCCCCACAGTGCCAGCTGCCCTGGAAAGACTGAGGTTGAATGTGGCAATTGCATTCCTGCAGCGGCTATTAATGTTCTCAGACAGGACAGGCAAGATATGCACAGGCCACAGAAGCTTTAGGGTTTCTCTTAGTTACATTTGGAACCGGAAAGGGCCATTGTTAATGAATAGAAGAGTATAGAGACATCTTTGATCCCCTGCCTAGACTGAGTGAATTAGCTAAATGCTGAATATCTCGCATTGTGCCATCATTATTGTTCATCATTGTGACCGGCTGGAAAGAGCAAACATAATAATTATGAGGCATTGTGATAATGGCACTTTGTCTCAGCTTTAAATTGTTTAAACAAAGCTTCTCTTTTATTTAAGTGACTCCCTGATAATTCTGTTAAATCTTTCTTTTCTTCAGTCTCGAATCATCATTTAAATAGAGACATCTTGTGTCCTCTGCCCAAAGTGGGCTTACAGGCAGGGAATGTCTGTGTTGGTATGTGTGTGTTGCTCTTTCTTCCCCCATCAGTATCGCTTTAGAGTACTGACTGCAGAGCACAGCTATGACTGAGTATTTTTCTTGAAATGTCAGATAAAATTATCTAGCTAAATATTATTGTACATATTTGATACTTGTAGATGAAAACATTATTTTGTCCAGATTATTCAAATAAATGTATTGAGCGGCTTTTCTTCTGCATTTGCAGAAATCTGGTGTTTATTCCAGTTGAGCAACAGTCACTAGCAACAGTATTCTTTCTGACGTAGTCTTTTTTATGAGGAGATAGTAGTGCTCATTCTCAATGTGAGAACTACAATTTCAGCTCTTATCCTGAAGTATCACATATTTCTGTATTTTCCCTAATATATAGTAATGGATTTAGAAGCATGGAAGCATAATGTTTGAGGCAACACACTACCTCCTCCGTAACTCTTCCTGGAAAATGCACTGTATGTTAGACCTGCTTTTGAAAATCGGAATCATCAAAAAATATTGTCCAGAGGGGTTGTAGACCTCCCATCATCACTGGGTATATCCAAAACTAAAATGGACAAGGCTCTGGGCAGCTATAACTCCAGACCTGTCTCTAGTTCTGTTGAGAATAGCAGTGGGAACCTTGATTGGTGTGAATAGGGTTGTGTTGGTCTGGAAGCACCGAAGTAACAATGGGAGAAGGATTGCTGGAATGCGAGAATGGCTGTTGATGGCACTGAGGTTAGCAGGTCATTAAGATAACCGCACACATTTACACCACGGCTTCTCAGGGAACCCACCTAAGGAGAGAAGTCGGTAAATCCTGATGACTCACAGAGGTGGGACAAGAAGAGATTTTTTGCTGTTGGTGTCTAAAGGCAACAGAAAGTAGCATCTAGCAGCAGCATGTGGTTGCCAACCTAAAAAGAAATGAGAAGTTAGGATAAGGACTGGATAGCCGACATTCGTTGTCCACCCTGTCATTGAAAGGAATGTATCTCCAGTATGAATGCTAGATAGACTATTTGGCTACATATGCCGTGATGCTTGTGAGTACATAGGTTACAGTGATACCAGCACTCTTGCTCATTGAGCTGTACTAAACTATTGGTACTCAGTGTTGCAATATTGTTTTCTAGACTTTTCAGGAAATAAAGTTTGAAGCAAATGACCTCCAGAGGTTCCTTCCAATCCAAATTACTCTGTGATTTTGCCACTTGAATGCAGGAATTAGTGCATTATGTTCCATGATCTCCACTGCACAGGAGGTAAGATTAGTACAGTTTTATGGTCCTTACTTAAATATTACATTTTTGTCTGCATTTCTTCCAACTACCCATGTCCTCACAGGTAAGGATTAGTTTTTTTTTTGTTTTGTTATATTTTTTTTAAATGGATTTTAGTCACCCAAATACAAGGGAAAACAAAAACCAACAAAACCAACCAACTAAACCAAAACAAAAAAACAACTAACCAACCAAACAAAAAAGAGCAAACCAAAACACCAAGCCACCACGCAAGCCCCCACTCTCCCCCAGGCATTTTCAGAGCATAAAAGTTAATTTCATATTCACAAGAGCGGTGATTCAGACTATCTGTTAAATAATCTTGTACTTGAAAAAGTTCCATTCAGTGGATCCTTTTGATCAGAAGGCTGTAAACCTCTGAAATTCAGAGAGCCGAGATTGAATTGTCATCTCAGTTGTTGTCTGAGACAAGATCAAACACAAACAATGAGGATCATTGTGTCCACTTAAAAAAAAATACAGTGCCCATACTGAACTCCCCAGTTTGCAGACCTCATCTTGTCATGTTCTTCACTGTGCTGAGCTGATTGTATGAGGCTGGACCCACAAATAATCTCTCTCATTCCTAGTACTCTTAACATTGCTGTGCATACAGAATGGAACCATGTTGTTCTAAATCATGCATGTCTGTCAGCTCCATCACAGACCAGGAGTTGTGCTTCTTGGTTTGCTTGTTGTCTGAGAAAGTACTGATTCTCCAAAAATACTAAAGGGTCTGCTAGAACCCCATCATCCACACCTTGTTCAGCCTTTAATAGAATTTCCTGTTAAAAGACAGAGTCATTTATCATGTTTGTGGTCTGACAACTCGGGAAGTAAATATTGTGAATGCATCTCTTCCCTGCATCCCTCTTTTCCCTCCCCAGTCTTTCCTGTAGTGTTTCTTTTTGTTTGTTTTTTACTGTTTAGATGGTTTGGGGGGTTATGGTTTTTTTTTTGTTTGTTTTCTGGTGTGTTTTGTTTGTTTGTTTGAGGGTTGTTTTTTTTTTAGTATCTACTAACACTTCTGATTGTTCTTGGTAGTGAGAGAATTTGGTTATAGAGCAAAATAAAGCAGTTTGCTCCTGAATTCTGCTCTGGGTGGTTCTCTAAAATTTCACTGTAGCTATTTTACTTGTATTTCCAGTATCAAAATGAATTCCACATTTTCTACCTACATCCTCTCCTGCTTTATAATTCTGTTACTGTTTACCATGTTCATTCTCATCAGTGTGGTGAGCACCAGAAGTCATGTCTGATTTCTCCATTTCTTTTCATATTCAGATTAGTACCGAATTTTCCTATCATCTATTCTGGTATAAAACACAAATTTTTCCTCACCTGTCACCTCTGCCTATGCCTTAATACTCTGTTACTTTGATTCTGTAACTTGTAATACGTAATCTACTCTTTCCTAGCTGACTTGGCATTTCTGTTGCTTCCTTTCCCCTTATCTAAACATCTTGTATCTTTCTTGCCTGTCTTCCTAAATCATGTAATTCTGCATCTTTGAAACTCTCTCTAAATTCACGTTGTGTATCAACTCAAACTTGGCTTTATTACATTCAAACCTTCTCCCCATGTATGTGCTTTCTGATGTGTTCCCTAGAGTGCCAATTCAGAAGCTGGTTTTCCTAAATATTCCCTCTGTCCACTCCATACATAAAACTCTCTGAGATTCATCATAGTCACTGCTCTCTCTTTTCTCTGATTCAAAACTCTGTTCTGTAAGGATCCCAAAACTCTGAGGTAGCAATCTTGTAAATTGTATTCTGTGCTCAGTTACATTCATGCAGCATCAGTAAGTCAATGGAACTCAGCTCGGTGGCTTTGCACAGGTATAACCAATAGCAAGATTCACTGCGGAGTTCTAGGAAAAGATAGTGGGCATTTACTGTGGAGGTCCATTTTTGTTCCATTTAGATCTAGTGCTTAATGATGTTGTTATTAAGGTGTCACTGCAAGATGTCTTGTAGTCTTTAAAGACAATTGTAATGCAGAGTGCTCTGGTTGCATTTTATGCGTAGCTAAGTTAAAATCTTACCATGTGAAATGGTTAAGGATTGTTATTGATGGTGAGGGGAATCTAAAGCTGTTTCAGAACCACTGGTGTAATAAGCCAGAGGTTCCACCTGGTATACTCAGAGAATATGAGACACATCTGAGGCTGTAATGTCTCATTTAGACATGATACTAAGTCTGTGTGAGTGTATCAAATACTTCATTCACATAATGTTCGATCAGTAAGTCCTTCAGACTTGATATCCTGCCAGTGGGGCTGCCACAATTCATGTACTCATAAACACTGTCCTTGAGATCTTGTCTGCTCCTTTCTGCACAACCCAGTGTATTAAAATAAGCCTATCTTTTTGGATATGGAGCAGTATCCTGCAGTTTTTATGAATTGCTAGATGCCATCATAGTTTTTTACTGATGATATTCCCTGGTTGGAGTCATGTATTGTAAAGTACAGTTGTTTCCAAGATTTAATAATGTGACAATTAAGAAAACACAACTTTTTTTCAATAACAGAGTGTCCTGGGTTCAGCAGTAGCAGTCATGTTTCTCCTTCGTGGTAGCTGATGCAGTGCTGTGTTTTGACTTCCAGCCTGGGAACAGTGCTGGTGATGCCGATGTTTTCAGTTGTTGCTAAGTGATGTTTACCCTGACCAAGGACTTTGTGAGGCTCATGCTCTGCCAGGGAGGAGGGGAAGCCGGGAGGAAGCAGAGACGGGGCTCCTGACCCGGGCTAGCCGGGGAGGTATTCCATACCACAGCACGTCATGCCCGGGGTGGGGGGTAACTGGGAGTTACCCAGAAGGACACGGGCTTCCGGGTGGGACTCGTTATTTTCTCTTATCATTGGTGGTAGCGGTGGTGATTTGTGTTGTACATTGGTTGCTGGACTGTTCTTGTCTCAACCCGAGGGAGTTGCACTCTTTTGATCCTCCTCCCTGTTCCTCTGGGAGCAGGGAAGGGGAGAGCCCCGGGGGGGGGGGGGGGGGGGGGGGGGGGGGGGCTCGATTGCTCTCAGCCTGGCACCACTCACTGGGAGTGAGTGAACAAGCTGTCTGGCTAGGGTTTAAACCATGACACAGAGCCAAGTAGAAATTAAACGGTTGTTTGTGTCATTCTCCTAGTCAATTCAGTCTGACTTTTGCCTCAGCAGGGCTTGCACAGTTAAGAGCTAAATAAATGGGCTGGTAACAAGCTGTATAAATTTCACAAAGGATTTTGTTCTATGAAACAGTAACCAAGACAAGTGGAGACCGGTGATGAATAGTGTTCCTCAGGGGTTGGTATAGGGACTGGCATTGTGTAATGTCTTTGTTGGTACCATGGTCAGTGGGATCGGATGCATCCTCAGCAAGTTTGCTGACGACATCAAGCTGTGTGGTGTAGTTGACATGCTCGAGGGAAGCGATGCTATCCAAAAGGATGATATCCAAAAAGCCTTCACAGGCTTGAGAGTTGTTGGTTGACAGCCAACATTGGAACTAGGTGATCTTAAGGTCCTTTCCAACTCTAACTCTTCTGTACTTCTATGAGTCTATGACAAGAAGGTCAGCATGAGCTGGCAGGGTGCACTTGCAGCCAGAAAAGCCAGCCATATCCTGGGCTGCATCCAAAGGAGCATGCCCAGCAGGTTAAGAGAGGTGATCATTCCCCTCTTCTCCACTCTTGTGAGATGCCACCTTCAGTACTGCATCCAGCTCTGGGGCCCCCAGCACAAGAAGGACGTGCACCTTTTGCAGTGAGTTCAGAGGAGGATCACAAAGATTATCAGAGGGCTGGTGCACCTCTCCTGTGGAAACGGGCTGAGAGAGCTGGCCTTGTTCAGCCTGGAGAAGAGAAAGCTCAGGGGACACCTTATAGCAGCTTTCCAGCACCTAAAGGGGGCCTACAGGAAAGCTGGAGAGGAACTTTTTACAAGGGCATATAGTGGCAGGACGAGGGGGAATGGCTTTAAACTGGAAGAGGGGAGATTTAGATTAGATATTAGGAAGAAATTCTCTACTGTGAGGATGGTGAGTCACTGGAACAGGTTGCCTGCCCATAGAAGCCGTGGCTGCCCCATCCTTGGAAGTTCAAGGCCAGGTTGGATGGGGCTCTGAGCAACCTGTGGAAAGGGGGGTGTTAGAACTAGATGATCTTTAAGGTCCCTTCCAACCCAAATCATTCTATGATTCTATGAAAAACATACAGTATTCTTCTAGTACTTCATTCTATCAGCTTTTTTTCTGTTACCCCAATAAATAGGAATTTTGCCTGAGAAAGGCCTGCACATATATCCTAACAAAATATTTGCATCCAAGAATTAATATTTACTATCATTTTCCAAGCTAACCTTGGTGAGTAAATTTGATGAACAAATCCCTTAAGTTTTTCTTAACACATCTTTAGAACTACAGGCTACCATATGGAAAGCAACAGGAAGAAGGCATTTTTTTCCAAAAGAAAGGGCTTTTTTTAACAAAAGCCTATGTGATTTGCTCACATTATATTGTCAAGTGTTGCATCTCTTTTAGTTGAATCACTCTTGATTTACACAAGAGGATCTAGCTTACAGTATTTTGTTGAATGAATTATCAATATGCCCTGTTGCTGTTCTGCTAATCAAAAGGCTTTTAACCACGCTGGCCTAAAAGTAAAGAATACCTTTATTGCTGTACTATATAATAAATTGCATCACTGAAAACACTGTACAGAGCTTTTAATTTTGTGCATTTGAGTGGGATCATTGAAAGCTAAAGGTTTAGGCATAGGTGGCATGATATCCTATCACCTTTTGCTGTAGAAATAGAGTGACTCATCAATAAGGGCAAAATCGCCACTAAGACTGGCTGAAGTAAGTCAGAAATTTCACTCTGTATCATTTGGTCAAAAGAATTTCACCAAGCAGCAGGCATGTTCTGGCAGTCCTTTCTCAGATGCCCTTATTCGGTCCAGTAGGACTACACAGGTAGCTCTCATTTATCTGAATACATGCACTGCATTTGTTACAAGAAAGCAGGTTTGTCATCAACAATGAACCTTAGGTGTGTATTTAGAATTTGTTTGTTTGTTTAAAGCAATAACTGTTAGTATATTCAACTAATCTGCAATCTGGAAACTTTTGTTTGAATTCCGTGCTTATAGTTTGCTCATTTGACTTGATCTGATATATAAAACTGGCCTTAGCTGTGTGATGTGTGGCTGGCTTTTTGCAGCAGTCACTCGGTCTGGTGAATATGCTTAACATAAAATTCACTGTTGGTGTAGCTGTTTCTCCCTCAGTCCACCTTTGTCTTATGATCTGTTCATATAGCAGTGTTCTGTGGTGGGCATTCAGAAACAGGAGTCTCTCAGGGAAAAGGCATGAAAGTTAAAGTTTTCCAAGCTTGCTACTGCAAGCCTTTTTGCTTCAAACGCACAAGATGTTAATGGGCATGACAAAACTTGAGATGGCATCTGTAAGGAGGAACACAGCCAGACATGATGTGAACAGCAACATTTGTGTAAAGTTTTGAGTAAGTGGAGATGAAAGTCTCCGTTTTCCATGGTTACTCATCCTCTGAGATACCCTTTTCAAACTGAGACATATCTAAGTTTGGAAACTCTGAGAATGAAAGGTAAAACTTTTTCTGTCTTCTAGGATATCTCCTATCACATTTCAGAATGCAGTCTTCTGTAGCTTAACACCCAGCATAGTGACAGCTTACAGATAAGCAATATATATTGGCACGGGTTGAAGACAAACCTCAGCATATTAGCATAGAATGATGAAGTGGGAAATGGTACGTAAGTTTTGGCTGAATCTTCTACAAACCGGATTAACTTAGCTCATCCTGAACTACATGTTATTACAGCTAGGTTGCTTCCAGTACCAGATCTGGCTCATTTACTATCAACACAGCGCTGCAGTTTGAAGTTAGATGTGCTTGCTGTTGCAAAATATATTCACCACAGTTAATGGGAAATGCCTTTCAGGGTGTATTTTCTTAGGGTGCACTTTCTGAGAGAGTTTTCCAGAAGCAGAGAAGGATAAATATGGCTCAGAAGTCCTCAAGTAATACTGTAATCATTTGACTCTAGAGGAGACACTAGAACTGGATTTTATTCAATTTCACAGAGCTCCTTCTGTCAAGAAGCCAAGCCTAAGGAAAAAGGTATATTTTAACTTGCTGCAAATTATGGGTCTGTGTTTGCAGAGATGTGAAAAAGTCAGATTCACAGTGGATGCAATGCTGCCTTTTGCACTGATTATTAATGCAATACTTGTAATTTTATAAACTGTGGTCTAGTAGGCTAACAAACAGCAGTACACTCTACCTATACTTCATTCGTGGAGCTTTCCATGCAAAAGTAACAGCATAAATAAAATCTAATGCTTCTTGGGTTCCAAATCAATACTATGTTTCTACAGGTGGGGGTTTGTTGTTTTTTGTTTTTTTCATAGATCGCCTGTTCTTTGCAAATTGTATGCATTCAGCACACTGGAAATGAAGACATAGTGGAATATGTGCTGTCCACTCATGTCTAGTAAATAAAGTCACTTACACATCTCTCTGATTGCCTTTTTTGAAACAGAGGCTTACGCAGTAGAACATTCAGAAACCTCCTATTCACTTGCTTAAGTAAAAGCAGAGGAGATTCCTTATTTAAAATACTTAAGAGAAAACTGTTGTTCAGAACATCTGGTATTTTAAGATGCTCTGGGTTATGTTTCTGTTCTATCAAGAAGTATTAGTTAGTAGAAGGCAAAAATTGTTTTTCATTTCCTGCTTTATTCTATAAGCTTCATCCAAGCTGCTCATTTGTGATACTGTCTAGAAAACCTGTTGTCCTTTGGAATACTTACTGAAAAGCTGCTGTGTTGATTTTTATATTACATTAAATGAAATTCAGAACTTGCTGGTGTTACATTTTCTAGTTTTTCTAGCCTTTTATTGTGTGTTGCAAAACACTTTAACTGAAATCTGCATTCATTATTACCAGTTAAGAAAATACCAATACCTGGTTTCAGTTACTAATTTGCACTAAACCAGGTAAATAGGCAAGTGTAATAACTCTCTATGGACCTATGTATTGCTTTTTAATCCTTTAGAATTCCATTTTATGTTCTTTCTTTCTGTTTCGTGGTGATTGTTTTTTCCTTTCTTTCTAATTAGTTTAATACACAAGTTGTGTTTCTGAATATGCCTTGATTACTTCAAAAGTTTCTGAAGCAATGCTTTCCTCTCTTGGATTTTGTATTTTGAATATGCTCAACTGGCACACTTGAAACATTTTGGTTTAGTTTAACCCTTCAGTTGTTGTGGTTACAAATGGCATCAAAATGCTGTAGCTCCGCTCAAAGCAAAGACAATCTCATACCCTCCACTGAGTTTGTAAGACTTCACCAGTGTAACTCTTTTGGATGATGGAAAATTTGGAAAATCGAGGTTGTCCTTGTCCCAAAATAGAAACAGGCAACTCTTGCTGAAACACATTTTCTAACTATGCAGATTTTCCAATTTTTTGCAGGTTCATATTGATCAGATTTAGACTTGATTGGATTAGCTGCTGTTGTGGGAGAATATTTCCATCAGAAACACTTGTGAGGAAGATACACTGCATTTTGAACTGGATTTTGATACATGTTATGGGCAAATTGACTGCTTTTTCCTGCTCTTCTTATCCAGTCTGAAGGGTGCTTCAGGCCTGAACATGCGCCCAGAAGTAGCACTAGTCTCGGGGCAACCTCTAGTGACCATTGTGCCTTCAGAAATACCCGGAGGATATAATATTTTAGCTCAGCAGCAGCAGATTCCTGTGTACTTTAGGAATGACATAGGATGGGATGACATATACATAGTAAGTAGAGCCAATTGTTTTTCTGCCCACTGAGGAAAATTTGACTTGAAGTTTGAGGTCTGGTGAGGGCTCGCACTTCAAACCTTAATTCTCAGGGGGACATTGAGACTACCATTGGAGAGGATTGTTCTTGGGAGAGCAATCGTGCCAGTGTGGTTTCTTACAAAATGTAGTCTCTATATTGCTGTATACAGCATCTCAGCCCATGAAGGTTCTGTCCTTAGCTTGAAATACTCCATCCAGTAGTACTTAAGCTCTTTCTCTAACAGTTCATAATGCGTAAAAAAAAAATATGCCACATTTCACTGCTAAATAGCTTGTTAAAAGCAGAGCAGTTCATATCTGTCTCCCTGAAGTTTAAGTCCTATATAAGCATTAATCTGAGCTGAGCAAAACTCATGAGCAGAACACTCCAATGATTCTGAGGCTGGTGGTGGCACTCCATGGAGCTCTGACAGCCCCAGATCATTCATAGTAGATAAAAAGATACATCCAGTCTGATACTGCTCTTGGTTAAGAGGATTCCTGTATTCCTTAATGGCATAAAATGAAAGCTGTGCATATAATCTGACACAATTTAACTACTTTCATACACTTCTTAAACACACAGTTTCATTTCATGTACCTGTGTCTAGAATAAGGGGTGCATACGAAGATGTTCTTTGTAGTTTTGTAGTTTGTTTGCATGTAGCTGCCATGCAACTGTGAAGCCCTGCTAGATGGAAGCAGAGTTGTGTGATGCTTCCTGTGGAATTAAAGTGGTGCTGCTTCATTTTCAGCAGAAACGCTAAAAAAAACCCCCAAAACTAATAGATCATTTTCTTCTGTATTTTTCTTAAGACCATGAAGATTATAGACTGTAGTTTGCTTATAGTTAGTATATAAACCTAACATGAAGTGGTTTTGTCTTATTATTTGAGGGACCATTCATTGCCAAAGAAAAACGATTCTTAAGTTAGCTAAAAATAAGACTGGTGCAGGGTGATAATAACAAGTGCTTGAAAATAAAGTATGTCGTTAAAAACAAATTTGGTACAGTTCTAAAATTATTTCCCTTATGTATAAATCAGGTCAAATGGACTTTTTCCTGCAAGTATTTTGTAAGAGAGCAAAACATGTTACAGTCACAGTTAATGTCCCCTTACTGACACTTCTCTGTTGGAATCTCTCAGTTTCCATGAATGCGGTTGAAGACATACAATTTAGCTTTACCACATGTCAAGAAGATCTACTAATATTCTTTCCATAACAGCTGGGGGTTTTTTGTTTACTCATTTTTTCAATATATCAATAAGATTTTTATGCAACTTTTTTTTTTTTTCAGTTACATCATTGTAATTCTAGTCATATATAAAAATGTTGAGTGAGGAGGGAATTTATGCCAACTATTGCTATATTGGCAAAATAAAAATAATTTTGATCCCAGCAGTACTATTTTTAGATGTGCTTTAGGTGAACTAAATTAAATACTAAAATTACAGCTTAGTATATCCAGGATAAAGTATTGTTTCCTCAGACATCCTCCTTTTCTTTTCAAGCTATTGGGTCTATGTGCAACATCAGTACTGAATACTTCAGTATCAGTCCTGCCCTGTATAATCTTCCACCTGTGTTCACTACCCTATTAAGATAAAATAGAAAATATTGTAAAGTCTTTATACCTGTTCATATCCCCAGAAATGTCTGAAACTGAATGAGCCAAGTTAAACATACTAAAGTATTAGGCAGACTGCTTTTAATGACAATAGAAAAAGCAAGTACATCTTCATTTCAAGTCTATTCTGGGATTATTTTCAGCTCCATTAGGACAAGTATAATGCAATACTTGCTTTCTATTTTAATCTTATGTTGAAGGTTAATTGGAAATTATTATAATGAATTATTCTCCTGTGTGAAGAGAAATTTCTCACTGAAAGATGTAATCAAGATTATTTTTCTGTATTTTTTGTCTCACCTGGTCCCTCCCAAATTATATAACATAGAAAATATGTCCAAAGAAAAAGAATTCTGTCATATTTTGGGGATTTTACATTTTGTGTATGTTACTTAATAACTTCCACTACAACAGACTTTTTTTATTAAAAAAAGAAAAAGTTATTTTCTTGTATTTCTGGATTTATTTTAATTGCTTACTTTAATTCAGGCACACAATAGTAAACAATAATGGAAGTAAACTTCTATAGTGTTATCTTCATGTATTCTGAAATTCATATTGGCTTTTAATAATGCCTAATTTAAAGAAAAATGCTAGACATGTCTGTAGGTCATATGAGTAAACATTTATGCTTGTATTAAGAAGCACTGGGAAGATTTTTATTTATTTATAGTTTTGTATCTTTTCGAATTCGTATTCTAGAATCCATGTCTTAAATCTGTTCAGTTCTCAGAAGAGCTTCTAAAGGACATAAGCACTAAAGCAGAGAAGCAGAACTAAGTATTTGAGAAACTTGCCATAAACCACCCATTCTACCAAAAAGGAGAATGCGTAACCTTTCGCTAAAAGAATAGTAAGGTCATGAGTTCTATCGCAAAATATATTCTCACTGGAGTAGATAATTTCTTGGTTTCAGAGTCATGAAGGAAAAGCCATTGGCAGTGAGAAAACAGTACCAGAGAAAATGCTAAAACAGCCCAAGTAATCAGGTTGTGAAACAATTAAAAATCATTTTAAAAGGAATGAATTCTGTGTAACTAGATTATTTCCAAAATTATGTTATCATTTTAAATAAAAATTTCAAGACACTTCTTTTTACTTATTGATTTAGTGTAATTGTCTGTTTAAATCAAGACAGCTCTTAAGAGATCAGATCCTTTGCCCTTTATTCTTAAAACAGCTACAAAGCAACCTACAACCGTATGTCACATTAAGTAGTCATTCAGCATATTGCTATATAAATAGTTCATGAATTATATATGAGGGGAAAATTCTTAAGAAATATTGGAAGCGATTTTGCTTGTGTCTACAAGTCTAAGTAAGAAAACATTTTTTTTCTACATCACAGTCAGTTTTAAGATTCATATCGAGACTGTAGCAGCTTTAGCTAGAAAGAAAATAATTGCGGATAGTACGTTTCAATAAGGCATTTGCTTTTATTCATATCGTTTTCTGGTACTACCTGACACCTAATGTGAGTTATTGGAATAACAAAAAAGTGTTGCAAATGGTTATTGTTAAGAGGAAATGGAATCTGGTGGTGTGAATATGCTCATGCAAAGGATATAGAAAGTGCCCTAAGAGCCAGTGTCACAATACTGAATAAACTGAACTTTGTGTTTGATGAAAATATCCCTGCTTACTTACTGGTGAGGGGAAATAAAAAAAAAACAGTAACTGCTGATTTGTAATTTTTCCAATATAAGATGGCACATTGCTATTACATGACTTTTCATACTAAATGATCAGAGACCCGTGAACTCCACTTTGAATATGAAAAGCTATTTTGTTTTTCTGTAATATTGCAGAGGATTAAGGGAGATCAGGCAAGGACTAAATATTATAACAGTAACTTCTGATAGAAATATTTCTATTTCATATTAGTCTTTTGAGAAGCAGTCAATAATACACAAGTGTTTGCTGTATATTTGCTGTATATTTCCAGGGTTTCTCTTTTGTGCGTAGTTATTTAAGAAATAAGCTCATTACCTGCCCCATGGAAAACTATGTTTTTGTGAAAAGAATTGAGGCATTTTTCATAGCAGTTTGTAGAGCTGACAGTAAACCAAGCGTGGATCAGTATGTCACATTCCGTAACTCTAGTGCAAAATCTCACATTGATTAGAGTTGACAGAGAATTGCCCATTGTTAAAACCCATCCAGTGTTAGCAGAAATGTGGCATGAAACAGGTTGAACATGTGATAGCTGATGGCGCTTTGAGCGTAGTCTATTCAAATGTCACATTAGTAAAGCAGTTTTGGGTTTTTTTTTTTGCATTGTGCTTAGCACAAGCTGGAAAAACCTCGTGTGATGGTCATTTCCTGCTGAGTCAGAATGCAGCAAAGCTGCTCAAATGTGAATGCAGTGGTCCACAGGAGATGGTTGCTTTCTGGTCTGTGCTGGAGAAGAGACTGCAGGTTGTTTGGAAAAGTAAAAATGACCAAAGAGCTTCTGTAAGATTTGTGAAGGAAAGTATCTTGATGTGTTTTTAAAACTCTTCTTTCAAAGCACAGTTTATCTTGTTAGCTGCTTTGCTCTTGGGGTTTCTTTGAATGCATTGCTAACATTTGTGAATATGTAGTTGCTAGATGAGATCGCACTTCAGAATGTTTAGTGCATAATATTGAAAGAGGCTTAAAATCAACAACAGATCTATAAAGATAACTCTGGATTATTTTACAGAAATAATTTTAGTAAATGGGATTTACCCAATATATTCCTCTAAACAGAAATCTTAACATATGGGTATTTCTATCCAAACTACAGAAGTTGGACTGCTTTCCTCTCTTACAGAGAAACAGACTGAAAAGACTTCCAGCTATGTTCCTGCCCTACTAATTCTATTTCTCTCCTTTCCACCAGTTTTTACCCATGTGGAGAAGAACAGGCATTTCTTGCATTCCCTGCAAGTGAACCTTTGCAAGAAGTTCTTTTTCTTGGAAAGTAAGTTTCTCTGTATTTCTCTCTCTCTCTATATATATATACATTTCTTCGTCTCTCATTCCCCAAATACACTCGGCTTGCATTTAGAGGAAACTTTAAAAACCTCTGAAAATATCACATGTTGGGTAGCTCCATGGATGGAAGTTAATTACTGACCTCATGTATTCATTTTAGGTTGTATGTGAATTATTGGCAAATTACTTTCATAGGAAAAAAGTGTGAGAGACGAACGATAAAAGGTTGGTTTGATAAACTGGGAGAGGATGATTATTAGGGAGAAGCACAAATATCCTGTCTACTTTGCCCAGTCAGCATGACTAAGCTTCGATATTGAGAGCTTCATCTACAACTAACTGCTTATGGCCTTCTCATAAGAACACTTGTCTATGCAGTATTTGATAGATAAGTGCAAAGAGGGGGGTCATAACATGTTGCACAACCCATCCACCTTTCTTTCAATGCCTGAGATGAAACCCTGCAAATCTGCAGTCTGCAACCCAGCAGTGATTTAGAAGACTGACGGATGGCCTCCTCTTGGTCTCAGGGCAGGATATTTCCCCTGCTACTGGAACTGCCCTCCAGCCGTGAGCTGAAACACTGGGGACTCCTGGTGATCTTCTGCTTTCTCCTTCAACTTTTCTCCATTCTACTAAAAGGGTCAGGGAGAGGAGTCTGCCAGGTACAGCATAGGTGGCACAGGGAAGGAAGGGAGAGGGAGTCAAAGCTCAAGCAGCAGCAGGAACATAATGTGAATAGGAACGATTCACACCTGCAGTGCTTAGGCAGAACCCTTACAAAAGACAAGTGCTTGTCAGTATAACAGATCTGCTTGTTCTTGGATAAACTGAAGTGGATGCTTTTATCATTGTACATGTCTAGCAGTTTATATTTTGTTCCAAAGGCCACTATGTGCTACATAATAGAGACAGGAATGAGAAGTTCTGCAATTGGATTGTGTTGATCCCAGTGGATAGTCTTCTGTGGAAGACAGAATAACAGAAGCTATCTAGGCTTTCTTGTAAAAAGGAATTCATATATTAAATAGTAGAATTAACATATAGGAGAGATATTTAGCTACAAAAGCAACTGTCAGCCTGATTCCTTATTCAGTAAGGAACAAAGCTTCTGAAACAGAGCACATAAAGTCAGTTCAGGATAACAAAACATAGAATCATAGAATAATCTGGGTTGGAAAGAATCTCCAGCAAGAGTCTAGTCTTCTTTGCCCAAAGCAGGGCCAGATTCTACAGCAGAGTAGCCAGGGTTGTACCCAGTCATCTTTTCAATATCTGTAAGGTTGGAGATTTAATTTCTGCTTCACTCTGCGCATGTTCCAGTCTTTGAACACCTTGTGAATATTTTTTTCCTAATATGTTCCTTAGTTACAACTTATGCCTGTTGGTATCAAACAAGCAGGTGAGACATCTCTAAAAATAAATAAGATCAAGTGGAAAACTGGACATAGCGAATAATTTAAAGTCATGGCAATATCTGAATTAATAAAAATAAAGACAGTGCTCTCAACATAGACACGGGGCCTCACTTTGATCTCAAGTCCGTAGCAGTTTTGTACTTGGAAGTGAAAGAGGTTAGACTCATCATAGGATTTCCGCTCAGGAGTTTTTACTTGACTGTCCTTTGGATGTCAAAGTCAGAAAAAACATGTATATTGTATCCCAATAATTAAAAAAAAACCCCAAACATTAATGGAGTACTGGAACATATAATAGGGACGTACCTTCTCTTGTCATCATAAAAAAGTGGCTCCAAGAGAAGAGGAGTACAAAACATGAACATAGAGACACAATCCCTTGTTTCTGTGTAATATACTAAATAATTTCTGTGTAATATTGCAGCTGCTTTTCCTTTCAACACACAGCAAGCAGAAGTATGTGAAGCTTTTGCCACCTTTTTGGTGGGGGACCAGGATTCAGAGGGGCAGCAGTTAATGTATTCCCTACTTTAATTCCTTATCCTGCCTGCTTCCAGTAAATACTCTCCTGGAGAGACATGCAGACACGCATGTCTCTTTGCCATAGAGTAGAAGTGGTCTGAAGGAGTGGCTGGCTGTATTTCTCAAGAAATTTCTAATTCTCTCAAGAATAGGGGTAATTTGATGCAAAAATTCTTTAAAATCCTCAGTTTTCTTGTATTTTTAACAAGTCCCTGATCAGAAAACTTTTTAGTATATGTGGTGTGTATAATAGCAGAGTGGCATTAATAAAGCTCAAAAGGCATCAATTCTCAGCAGAGAAAAAATAAGACAGAATGTGGGTATAGAGAAGAAAAAATACAAAATTCTCTAAGAAGCATCTAAACCCACCATAGAGATGAGAAACTAAAAAATGTATGAATATCATTAATAGAAATTAGTGATTAAATTTTAATTTTCAAAGGAATAGATGTATAAATGAAGAATAGTAGTAAGCAGTAATCACACAAGAACACATAAGGAGAAATCAAACATCTAAACTTAGCTAAAGAAAAAGCAATTAGTGATGTTTTATTACTGATAGATATGTTTTGAAGAGACTCTCTGGAAGGAGAAAGATGATGTAAGTTCTTTCTTGTGCAGTACATTAAAAAAAATGTTAGAAAATAATTTGTAGAATAGCTCATGACAGAAACTACCTCAAGGAGGATCATTGTGTTCTGGAAATGAAGTTAATGGTTCAAATCTAGCAGTTGAGATATTGCTACTGCAGGCAACTTGTTGCTCCTTGTATTAACACTAAATTTGGCCACTTAAAGGGGATATAATCAGGAAAACGCTTTCAGTTTGAAATCTGATTCAGGTAAAAGTGATCCATGTTTTAACAAAATTGGTTGGAAAGCAGACTATTTTTTTGGAAAAAAATGGGTAAGATTCATTTAGAAAGATTGGGAGTTTGCAGAGAAAGATCACAGTTTTCCATAAGAAGCAGACAATTTTTTGGCAGCTTTTTGGTTAATCAGAATTCTAATTTTACATCACAGGACAATGTTTGCCAGCCTTAGCTGTGAAGCATGAACATGTTAGTAATCTGAATTCACCTCGGGTACAGAATTTGAATGATACTCAAGATGTAAAAGTTCAAAACCATCACTTGTTTTGTTTGGCTTCTTAACTTCTCAGGGGCGCTTTGCTTTCCTGTAGATCGGCATTTCACTTATTTAGGTCCCTTTTGTGTTTTTTTTTTTTGTCCTTTGGAAAGTTTCATTTCGTGACATTTATGTATGCCTAAAAGTCATCTAGAAGATGATATTTGGAATGAAATAAAGAGTAGTAGAAATTAATAAGGAAGCACACACTGTAACGAAGGATAAACGCTAGGTTATAAGGTCTGTAAAAGATGTACTTTGTCTTTTAGATGTTTAGCTTGTACACACTAAAAATTATGGATCAGCCTTTTTTGTGTTTGCCTTGCCTAATGAAACACACCACAAATATAGTCACAGTGCAAATAATAAAAACAACAGTAAGGCAGAGATGAAAACTTTTAAAGCACTAAAGAAGTAAGTTGGAAGAGGCAGAAAAAAAGTTAGGAAAATGAAATGGGGAAGGAGCCATGTCTGTTATAAATTCTTAGAGAAATATGGTGGGTTTTTTCTTCACTATGTTGTCCTGTTTTTTCTTTACTGCATTGTCTGCAGTAATGAAATCTTTGTTTTAACATCCAGGAGGTCAGTTTGAGAAATTGTTACTTATAGAAGCTATGCAGAAAGTTGAGAGAATGGAAAATCCATAAAGCACAGTAGGAACAATAGGCCCATGAAGGACACTTTATTGTGCCTGATAGCTGACAAGTAAAATGTATTGACAGAAGGAGTGCGTTGCTTAAAAGACACAACTTCCTGCCTTGTTCTCAAAAAAAGGACAAAGATTTGAATGCTAGGAGTGGGTTAAAATTTCCCCAAGGAAAGGAATCAAGCATTTACTAAAACTAATAGTTAAGAAACAAGTTTACTGAAATAGACCATTTCTCTCCCTCTCTCCTACACCCCCCCCCCATATTCCGTGTGCCTGGTATTTATTGATAACGGAGCTGGCAGCTGGATGCAAGTGCTGACCCCCATTGTCTGACTGTGGCAAGTTCCTTCTTACTCTAGCAGTGAAGCACAGTTTCAAAGTCTGCAAATGCAACGACGCACCCATCTCTGTGAGCAAGCATACGCCCGAATCTGAAGAAGTTTTTATCTTCTGGCAAATAAAGCTGGTTTCGTAAGTGCTGGTAATTATTGGTCCCCAGAGTACATGGTTCTGCTCAATGTTTTGCTTATAATACAGGGACTGCTTCATGAAGTCATGAAAATGCACAGTTACAAAACAGACCAATACACTTTTTTTTTCAGTGAACCTGATGGGTCTCTGGTGGCACAAATGCAGCGCAGAATGGGCATGCAGCAGTACAAGCATGCCATGGGCCTCTCCTTAGCTGAGGTGTGAAAGAGTTGTCACAGCCATGAAACACTTGAAAGCCAGTGTTTCATGGCTGTGCCAGAAAGCATCTGGCTAATGCCCTTGAGAGACACATTAGCCTTCACCCTAGCATCCATGCATTAGAGGAGACATTTGTTACAAGCTAATGAACCCTTGTTTTCGTAATCTGTGTTCAGGAGCTAGGTGTCAACAGAGAAATGAGCTGTTCCAGAAGCAGTGGAATTAATAAAACCTGATCTTTTTACAGATTTGACCTGGTCCCCACATAACTCTTACAATAACCCCAGCCCTCTTCCATACCCACTTCGCTCCCCGAAACTCTTTAATCCCTTCAGAGTATCACCACCTTCCCCCTATATTGCCCTCTTCTCTGGCTGAGCAATAGGCAGCATGCGGCCTGTTAAGAGCAGAAGCTGGGTGTGTGCTGGCTGACCACTGAACTTCAGGATAAGTGGTCATTACAAATACCTCTCCTTCTCCTCTACCCAACTGCCAGTGTTCACTTCTTTTCTAGAAACTTTGTTATGTTTAGTACTGCTGCCCCTCTGCTGAGTTGTTTGAAAGTGATCAGCAGGTTCACAAGTTACTGAGAAAGATGAAAAGCACCAGGGGTTAGGTCTCATTTCCTGAGGAAACCAGAATTTAGACAAATGGTCATGGATCCATGATTAGATTGCAGCTTCTGCCGAGAACTTCATGGGCTGAGCCAATCAAAGTTACAAGTCTAAAACAAATGCGTGCAGGGTGATACTAAGTTTTGTCAGCATGACTGCTATATAGGCACTATCTGCCACAGCAAAAAAACTACCTTAGAGGTATTTTTAGCAAAGGAAGCTGAGCTTTTGAAAAGTAGAACCTGCATCTGCTACAGCTTAGCTTTTCTTGCACAAAAATCCCACGTTGTCTTTTTCAGATGGATGCCTGGCTCAGAGTAAAGGACATGCAGTACACAGCCCCTAGCAGAAGCTGAAAATGGATGATGCCTACTGACGCTTTCGACAATGTCACCTCCTCTTTTCCTGTTTGAGATGGGTGATGTGATCATCAGGAAAAAGTTCTGAAAGAAGCCTAGAGTGACCTCTTCATCCATTGACTTCTCTTTCCGCAAGTCTAAAAACCATCAGAAGAAATGACCACTCAACTACCAGAGGAGTCTATGGAAATCCAGAGCTCAGATGAGCTCGAGTGCAAGATCTGTTACAACCGCTATAACCTGAGACAGAGGAAACCGAAAGTGCTGGAGTGCTGTCACAGAGTATGTGCCAAATGCCTTTGCAAGATCATAGACTTCGGTGATTCCCCGCAAGGAGTCATAGTATGCCCGTTTTGCAGGTTTGAAACATGCCTGCCAGACGATGAGGTTAGTAGTCTTCCTGATGACAACAACATCCTTCTGAATTTGGCTTGTGGGGGAAAGGGAAAAAAGTGCCTACCAGACAACCCAACAGAGCTCTTGCTGACTCCCAAGAGGTTGGCATCTCTGGTTAGCCCTTCTCACACCTCTTCTAATTGCCTGGTTATAACAATCATGGAAGTACAAAGAGAAAGTCCCCCGACCCTGAACTCAACCCCTGTTGTGGAATTTTACAGGCCTACAAGTTTTGACTCTGTTGCAACTGTGTCCCACAACTGGACCGTGTGGAACTGCACATCTTTGCTCTTCCAGACCTCAATTAGGGTGCTAGTGTGGTTGCTCGGGTTGCTGTACTTTAGTTCCTTGCCTTTAGGGATTTATTTACTGGTATCTAAGAAAGTTACCCTTGGGGTTGTCTTTGTAAGCCTTGTTCCTTCGAGCCTTGTTATTCTCATGGTTTATGGCTTTTGCCAGTGTGTTTGCCATGAAGTTCTAGACTGCATGTCATCTTGATAACAAATGCAGTAAAATAAGATGTATTGTCACTTGTGTAGCATAGTTGATATGTCCTGTCTTTGTATTCTTATTTATTCTTACTGTTGTCCATCCCACTAAATGGAAGCAGCGGCCCTAGTTATATGGTCCTTTTTTCTACTTGATTTGATTCCCCCCTCCTTTTTTTTTAAAAAGCTAAGTACTGGAAATAAAATTTACATGCTGATTTTAAAAGGCCAAGTTGTAGGAAAGGATAAAGCAAAATTGCCAAACTGGGTGCCTGCTGCTGCTGCCACTATTCACACAGGTAGCCCTTTGCTTTCTATTGGCTTGATCATGTCAGTCAAGGCTGCAGGATCCACACTAGAAGAAATTAGTACAACAGACACCTTCCAGGTCAAAGTACAGCATCTCATGCTTTGGAATATCTGTAGTTTATCATATGTTACCATTTACAGCAAATAAAATCACTTTATTAGTTGATATTATAAGATGAATAAGAGAAGCTGCCATTGCTTTTTCACAGTTCTTGTTATAGCAGAAATATTTGTTAGGAGGCCAATGGTTACAGGTTTTTTGCATTCTGCAACATGAGGAATCTTTTTTTCACCATGCTAAAGACATGTCTCCGAAACACTTTCCCCAAACAGAAGCCCACTTGTCATACAGTTACAGCTCCCTCTGAAATACTCTTGCTAATGAGTACTTCTAGGGACCCAGCCACACATTTGCTCTTCTCTAGGTGTTCTTATTTTGGTGTGCATACACCTTAGGTTTCCCTTTGAGGATTCAGAGCTCTGCAGATTTCTGTAGCTATGTTGTTATGCTTGCCCTCCCCTCTAGCATTTCCACCACTGCACCACATCTCCAACCCATTAGTCCTCCTAACAAATTGCCTGACCAGCTTCATGCACATCTACTCTGTGGTAGCTACACGGGAGAATTTGGCTTATGTGGCTTTAAACTATCAAGATAGACTTTTATTCCCAACCATTAGGAAATGGACCTTCCATCACTAAGACAGATCTCAGAAAAAAAAATCTGAAACTGTTGTTTTTTTTCTTTCTGAGCTCACAGAATGAGCATTGTAAGGAGGTTCTATGACTTTGGAAAGGTTTCTATTTATCACATAGTTCTTCAAAATGTTTAATACCCTGAGCTCCCTCTGTCACCATTGTGAGTGGATGGCACTCTAGGTGTGGCAATTGGTATGTCTTGATCAGTTGAGTTCAGAGGAGTTACTGATGATTTACCATTCCACAAATAGAATCAGGCCCTGTAAGGCTTGCTTGTATCTTGTACGGTTCAGGCTACTTTTTGAACTCCTGGAAGAGCACAAAAAAAGGAAATATTTAATGTGTATAACTAGGTTTAGTCAACACCACAGCTGCAATCTTGTTTTCCTGTGCACAGCAGGGTTAAAGCTGAGGAGCTGAGCAGGGCAAGCATGGTTTCTGGGTCAGGCACAAGACTGTAATTTCAAGGCAGTGTCAGGGAGAAGGGTTTGTTGCATGAAGATTGAATGTATGGCCTAACAATATATTCTTAGAGCAGGCTGACTTAAGAAAGAATGGAAAATGCCAATGGGAAAAGCAGAGCGTAAGTGGTTGTTGTGTCTGTCAAGGATTTGAAGTCAAGTTGCTTTAATTTTTGTAGATGGCATGGATGTTATCTACAGTTTCATTCCTATCGCAAACATAGGGAAGAATGTGGAAATGTAAAGGTCCTGCTTTTCTTGACACTCATTTTATAGTAGTCCATATATGTGTGTGTGTATGTGCATATAGACACATATGTAAGAAGAAAACTTAAAGCAAAATCATAGTTTCCAAGTGTATGGAGTTATGGAACTATGTAATGAATGATTAATGGAAATGTTTTAGACTTTTCTGTAATGATTTCATAACAATTATAACTAAAATATTTTCAGAATTCCTAGAAATCACTATTTCTAAGTAATTGTTTTTAATGTCTGTGGTAAAGCATATAGTTAGAAGAGGTATCATCTCCAGTTCTGGTATATACTGCAAGGTTTGACTCATCTATGAGCTCATAAAATCTAAGTATCCAACAACAATCATGTCAAAAAGCAAGAAAAATAGAAACCTATGTGGTGTTATCGTACTTCATAGCTTTGGGAAAAGATGTATTTGTAGTGTTAGGGATTTATATGTTTTAGGATTTGTTCAATTTGTCTGAATGTAGTGTCTCTAATAAAGGGCTGACTAATAGGTTTTGCAAATGTGTGACACATATGTAGTACCTCTGCACAATATGTCTACAGTGATACCTGTTGTCTTTTCCGTTTGATTTTCAGTTGATTAAGATTATTGTAGCTCCAGCACTGAGTATTTTATACTCTGTTTTAAAAATCTCAGCAGGATTACAGTGGTATCAGTTACATCTCACAGCACAAATAAATACACCTGTTGTTATACTTCACTCTTTTAAGACTGCCAGCCTGTTAAATTTATGCTGTTATTTTAGACTGTGCTGCAACACTAATCCACTCTAAAATAAGAGCGTGCAAAAACATATTGATTGTATAGCTATTCTGCCGCTCAGACAGAGCACGTTTTTACAGCTTTGGTCTCATAAAATTCCTGTATGACTTACAATATGACCACTGAGAATTGCTAGGAGGTCTAAATCTCAATTATCTTTGGAGAAGATATTTGGTGTGTGACTAGGATTAGAAGAACTTCAGATATTACTCTTTCATTATTTTTATTCTCCAACATCCTTAAGACTTAGAACTGAAAACTCTTGTCTCCTCTACAGTGGAGTAACTCTGTCAGTGTAAATGGAGCTAGAATCCGGCCCTGCATACCTGCCTGTCTGCATTTCCTTCCCTTTCTGTGACTTTTTTCTCTCCTTGGGGAGTAATAGCTCCTGTGGCCATAAAATACTGCCTGCCCACCAAGGCAATTTCCTTTCAGTAGGATTTTATTCCTGCTTTGCAGAGACATGTGACTCAACTGGGTACGAAGTGTAATGAATTTATTATTACAAGATTAATTTTGTACTAATGAGATTTTTTGTTTTAATGCCTGCTTATCCTATGGGTGCAGACCCTATCCTCACTAGCTGCTTGTTTACAGTATAATACAGTGATATCCCCTGAGGGCCAGGGCAGGATGATGTAGTAGTAGCTGCTGGGCACAACATAGGAAGGATGTGCTGCACTGAAACATCCTCTGAGTGGGATCTAGTGAGGGATGAAATTCTGCAAGCATGGCCTGAGTCAAGAGCCTAAAGGGCAATTAGCGGAGAGTGAGTTACATGGAAAGCAGGGTCTGTCGGTTCATAACCAGGACATAGAGTCCTGGGGCTGTGGGTGAGCTGTGGATAAGAAGCTGTGTGAAGCGGGGAGAAGTCTATGCCTGGGACAAAGGGGCTGTGTTTTAAATAATGAGTTTGGGGTAGAGCTGCTGAAAACAGGGGTTAATTTTTTCATACCTACCTTTCTGGTCATTTGGTAATTAAAAGTCATTTGCTACTGCTGCTATAGTTGACTATTTTTACTTTCCAAATGGCAAAGTATTGAACGTTATCATTTAAAGAGATCCTTAGATTTGGGCATACTCCCTCTATTATGTTAACTAGTTAAAGCTAGGATCTCTCGGACAGGCTTGAAGAAAATAAGGGCTGATGTCTTTGATTTAGCTACATTGTGAATTTTGTCCTACGATATTTATCATATGCCTGCAAAAACCTATATATTAATATAAACACTTAAAATAGGTGAAGCTTTCTCCTAATAACACTATTGGCAAACTTCAGGGTTGCCAGCATTTTAAGATGTATCCAAGAATAGACATTCTTCCCCATGACCTTTGTTACCTGAAGATACTGATAGGTCCAGCAGCACACAGCCAAGTAGACAAGTAGTACAGTACAGGGAAACTCAGCTTTCCAGCTAAATGGCTACACATAACTTCAACCAGAGAAAGGGGAACTGAGGAGGTTCATGGGAAAGTGGATGATGTTGTGTTTGAGGGACTTCCTTGTAATTACAGGACAGAACCATTGTTCTTCCTAATTCTAACCAGTTCCAGGGCTAGATTCAACTCCCTTTTCCCCATTACTTTTCTGCATCCTCTGTTGGGACTGTGTAAACAGTATTTTGAAATGAAGCAACCTTTCCTACTACGCTGAGTTTGCAGCTCAGTCCAGAACAACACGATTAATTCTGAAAAGATGGCAAATTGCAGCCAGGATGCGAGAGTGAACAGGGTGCAGAGGGGGAACAGCAGCAGGTTGTTAAAATAGCTTTGGTGTCAAAGCAAGGAGAACATGCGGCTACATCCTGCCTTATCATGGCTGGTTCAAAAGTAGTGGGAAAGGCTGTCTCTGGCCTGAGGACTACCATGACTCGGCACCCTCCTCTGCATTACCTCTGTGGCAGTTTACTTCAGTTGTGCATCTTGATGTCTTGTACAGCAGTTGTACATCATGTTTTCATTTTCCTGTGTGGGTGATGGGTGTAGTGAAAGGTCCACAGTGTTCCACTCTTAAACTGGCTCATTATAACTACCCTAAGGTTTCTCAGTTCGGGGAGGAGGGGAGGGAGAGGGTCTGTATTTCTTCATATTTCGACAAAAGCTAGAGAGTGCGCTCTGTTTTAAATAGAACAGTGCCTTCAAGGGTAAGAAAAAACCAACAGGGGGAAGAAGAACTGAGAATTTTGAAATCATTTTAAGATACTCAAACTGATGGAAAGAGACGGTTCTGAGAGTCTACTTTTACTTACATACGAGCAGATTAGATGTTGAGTGACATCAGTAAATATTTAGTGCTGGAAATTCCTGAGGGAGTTTATAAGGCTGCCAGACCTTAGGCACAAGCCCCCCGCTCCCCTGCTTCTCTGTAAAGCACCATTCTGTCTTTTGCATCAGCTCCCCTTGTCAAAAGTTGAATCATCAGGCTTTATAGAGAGTTCTGGTACACAGAATAAATCCCCAGTCTGGGGATGGCAACTCATCTCTTTAGAGACTCATGTGGCAGTAGCAAAGCTTTCGGTGCTCAGAAGAGAAGTCATCTTGCAGTCTGAATTGCTAGCATAAATTTAATTTAAATCAAGTTTCATTGTGTTGGGAAACACTACAACTAAAAATCCTGTTATCGTATTTCTGCCTCTTTCTTGTGTTATGCAACTGTGGTTTGCATTTTAAAAAATGTATTAAATCATGGAAATCAGAGATGGGTGGAAAAAAGCCTAATAAGTCATTTTATCCATTTCCTCTGCCCCTGTAGAGATGAATGCTTTGTCTAGTCTGGTTTTAAATGTCTCGAGTGATGAGGCCTCCACCTCTTACACAAGGGACTTTTCAGCCATTTAATAGGCATCTTTGTGAGGAAATGTTTTCTTCGTACTGATCTCAATTTTTTCTTCTGCATAAAGCAATCCCTCTACTGTGCTCCCACTGTTTTAACTTCTATGAAATCTGGGAAATGTATCATATTTATCCATTTCATCCTGTAGCTGAATAATTCATAATCCTTCTTGTTTAAGTAATGCAAGAGATAAGTAACCAGTTGCTGGACAGTTGTTAATCCTCCACTGAGATGGTGTGCCGTGTACCAGCAGACATATTTCCTGGCAAGTCATGGCTGAGGCTTCATTCAACATTAGTGAGAGAAAAATGTCAAGTGAAACTGAAGAAATGCATCTTCCTAAGCGCGTGCGTGGCAATATTGCTGAAATTTCAAGAGGTGCTGAGGCAAACAGCCTATTTCTTTAGAAAGAGCTTTTCTTTCTGAAAGTGGATGATTTTAATAAAAGTACACTTTCAAAAAGCATTTAAATATCCTTTTCAGAAGCAAACCTCTGTGTGAGAACCACTCTAAGCCAAAACTCTTAACTTGTTGAGAGACAAGGCTGGATTGATTGCCGCTCACTGCAGAGCAGTTTTTGCTGACAGCTTAGCTCAGAAGAGAAATCTAATCCAGTGTTAAGGAGAAGGGTTTGAAAAGATGCCTTTGCAACTGTGTCGTTGGATCGGATCTGTGCGTGAAAAAGTGACTCATGTCTTGACAACAGAAAAGTGCATTGTTGATTTAATTACCACGTATTAGATAATCCTCTGCCTATCTCAGATGACAAGAAGGAGCAGTGTGACTAAGGAAACCCTAGGTGGACAGGTGGACTTCATAGTTTTGCATTCAACAGATACTTAAAGTGATACTATGCTTTATAAGAGAACGCTAAGCCAGGATCAGGTGGGCAGTCAGCTGGTTCAGGAAGGGTCTCTCTAACCTTAGAGTGCTCATGGATATATGTAGAAAAGTCCATGAACAACCCATGTGGATGGTGAACTTCCTCATTTACAGCAATCTGCTGTTTGGAGACCTCTTGAGATGGAGGTTATGTTTCTATCTGTGGGATTGAGTCTTGCCTGTGGACTTCTGTGACTCCCTTAAAGTGTTTTTTTTTTTTAACCCATTCATAGAGTTATCATCTATAAAATCCTGCATCAGTGAGCTCCATAATTCAATTATATTCTTTGTAGAAAAGGTCCGCTTTGTCTTAAAAACTACCAGTTACATGTCCCCTACTTTTTCTGATAGGAAAAGCAGTTCCGAGGTGTGATTGCCCACTGTTTCCTTCACACCCCTCAGAACTTCATCTGCCTCTAGAAATATTGCCATCATAATTTTATCCCTCAAACCTCTCCCCGGCTGCCTCTTTTGGTCCTAGTCAATCTGATCTCTCCTTAGACAGCAGGCTTTACATGACTAGCACCAGCCATTTTACTTGTATTTTACCTTTGCTGCTGCTACTTTTTTTTGTTTGAGGCAAGGCAAAACACTCAGAAACAGGTTCTAATTAGTATCACTTGTAAGTAAGTTGTATGACCATGTAAGATGTCTGTACTCCCATGGCCACTGAAATCACTTTGTCATTGATACAATTCCTTATGGTGTATCTGAGGTGTTACACTTGACTATGTCAGTTTATATATCACGCATTATATGGAGGACAAAACCATGTGCATCTATAAACTTACAGGTATTCATTCCAATTGTCCAGTTCATATGGGTGCAGGGGATGGTAGACTCCAGGAGAATATTCAGTTTAATCTTGGCATAGTCTTTGTACAGATTTTAGCTCTATTAAGCATGTGGCCTGACGTTGCTGGACTGAGCAGCTACTCATCAGCAAGCGCTGTAAGATGCCTTCCCCCTCTTGCCATAGTGGTGCACCTGCCTCACACACTTGCTGCAGCCG